TCATATATCTACGTTAATTTTAATTTCAATAAAAAAAATTACCTCATACATAATGAAATGTGTAGCTTTATCATTTCATAAGAAAAAAATTTGAGAAAATATATTAATTCATGAAAACTTTGCTTATTAGGCAAATCGGGCCTTGCATAGTAGGCTGAGAAGTGCATTCTGGCTATTAGGTACGACATATATATATATATATATATATATATATATATATATATATATATATATATATATATATATATATATATATATGTCGTACCTAATAGCCAGAATGCACTTCTCAGCCTACTATTCAAGGCCCGATTTGCCTAATAAGCCAAGTTTTCATGAATTAATGTTTTTTCGTCTACCTAACCTACCTAACCTAACCTAACCTAGCTTTTTTTGGCTACCTAACCTAACCTTACCTATAAATATAGGTTAGGTTATGTTAGGTAGGGTTGGTTAGGTTCGGTCATATATCTACGTTAATTTTAACTCCAATAAAAAAAAAATTGACCTCATACATAGAGAAAAGGGTTGCTTTATCATTTCATAAGAAAAAAATTATAGTAAATATATTAATTCAGGAAAACTTGGCTTATTAGGCAAATCGGGCCTTGAATAGTAGGCTGAGAAGTGAGTTCTGGCTACTAGGTACGACATATATATAATATATATATATATATATATATATATATATATATATATATATATATATATATATATATATATATATATATATATAGTATGATGTATTAGAATGTGATAGTATTGTATGTTGTATTATACTGTATGAGGGTGTCATGGCTTGTCTTTTGAGTAAACGTGAAGTATTCGTGAAGCAAGCATGAGATGGGAGGGAGGACTTGTGTCTGAAGGTGTTTGTTGCCAGCTTATGGCACCTTTATAGAATTAATTGTTCTTTTAGTCTTTAAGAATGTTTATGCTTTAGTTCTGATACCAGAATGTATATATTATTATGTTAGTATGTTTATGTGTGATTGAGAGTGGTTACTTTCGTATGTAGTGTGGTTTAATTAGAGAAGGTATCTGCAGTGTGGTAACTCTGTGGAAGCTGCCCAGAGGCGCGCATGTAGAGCTTGCCACCGACTGCCAGCAATAGGTGGGGACTGGTGGACAGATGTCTGTTAAAGTTAAGTTCAGTGTATTCTTTGTTCTATTGAAGTTGATGGTTATCTGTGGATACATTAAATGTTATAAGCAATATGAAGTCTAAACTTAATAGATTAACTTGGGGATAATGTCGTGCCATATATTTTGAATATATATATATATATATATATATATATATATATATATATATATATATATATATATATTATATACATTAATTTTCTATGTACATTGTTCCTTTTATTTTTTCATTATTAAATCGTATCTACTAGGAGCATCCTGGTGTATCTTTCACATGCATGTTATTGCCCCCTAGAAAGTACCCATGCTGACAGGTACACGAGCCTTGCTGAACTATATAAATAACAATAGAATGTATTTGACCCTTATCGTTTGATAGGGATTATTCGTGGGTAATGATCCCAGTCAGTTTTTCGAAATTTGGTTAAGTGTGTTTCGATGATTTGATTGTTTTGGGTGTAATAGTTCAACCCGTCCTCCTGTCGAGATAGTACTTTTTGTAACTATGTGCTCCATAGTTCAAATATTGACGTTCTAAGCAATTAGATAGTATAACTTTGTACTTTTCACTTTATAGAGACTAAAAATGAAGCTAAAAACAAACTTTAATATTCCTAGGCTTAGTATTGCGCACACACATGTACTATATTGGGCCTCAGATAGCGTGTATTAGGCCTAGGAAGATTAGGTTGGGTTAGTTTTGTTTACCTTAGCATCATAAATTGAAAATCGTGTTGTGGTTTGTCCAAATTCAATAGTACCGATTTTTACTTTGTAATTGCGCTGTAGTTTGGTATATGTACTATAGAAGCACCTCAAGGAAGTCCCCATCCATCCTATAAGTACTATCAAAACAGGAGGATTGGTGAATTGTTAATGATCAGATGATGGGTTGGAGGTGGTGGAAGGTTAATGGCAGTTTGTTCAAGTGTCCGGTGGTGTCTGAAAATATTGGTGTGGCGGGGGAAGGGCCTTGGTGAGGAAGCAGGTGAAATTTCGAGTTTGTTTGAATGTTTTGATTAGTGGAAGGTCAAATGCAAACGGTTGTTTATTTACCTGTCTAAGCATCCGGCAGCAGAATGTTATTCACTACAACTTTGTGAGTTTGGCTATCGTCGGTGGGTGAAAAACTCTGATAAGGATGTGTTATTGAAAGAGAGGATGAGTTGCACATAGGGCAAGATTGCTAAGAGCAGCTATGTTCGGTACCTGACGGCTCATCTTTTGAATGGTGAAAAAGTTATGGCTTATCTATTGGGAAAAGATAACTTTTTCAGGACTTATTGCTGGCACTTTCTCCAAGAAGTGCCGGACCAACCGGGCTGTGGTGGGTATGTGGGCCTGCAGGCCGCTCTAAACAACAGCCTGTTGGACCAAGCGTTCATAAGACAAGCCAGGTCCCGAGCCGGGCTTGGGACATAGAAGAACTCCCTGAACACCATCCAGGTACAATCCAAGTAAATCTAATAGGTGCTCAGCCCTGATGGGTATTTCTATAGTTGATGTAATGGTTATATCGACTGCAGATGGACTTGCGTACCATGTTTGGAGTGAGATGTATGGGAGAGTGGAGTGAACTGTTGCTTGATATGAGCATTTTCTTGACTTATATTCGAAGGAGTTGTTAAATGAGGATAATGAGTTCTTGTATAGGAAGGTTGAGGAACAGGAAATTTGGGACGTGGTTGGAGAGTTGGTACCAGTAAGGAACAAAGGTCTTATGGGTTGCCAGTGGAGTTCTATGTTTATGTTTGGTTGTTGGAGATGATTTGGAAGGCCTTATCAAAAGTTTCTCATAGGACGATAAGAAATATTGAGTGAGCCCTAGTTATTTGGTATCATCAGGCTTCTGTCGAATACAGGGGGGGATGGGATATGACCTGTTTGTCCAATTAGAGGCCATTATCCTTATTGAACCAGGACAACATCATTATTTTCAAGTTGTTAGCCAAGTAGTCTTTGGCAATTGAGGAAATTTGTTCCCCCGTGCAGCTCTGTCGTGCTTCTGGTAGTTCCACTGTTGTAATAATGCTGTGTGGGACCTCCTGCACTATCGCTTTGAAAACAATGGATCATTGGCTGTGATAAACTTGGACCAATCAAAAGCCTTTGATAAGGAGTACAGTAAATTTGTATTTTGGTCTTCTAGAGTCCTGGAATGGTGTCTTGGTTTGTTTCATGGGTTAAGATGCTGGATCCTGGAAGTCGGAGTAGTGTTTGTATTAATGGAATGATGAATGCAACTGTTGGGATGATGATGAATGCGGCTGCAAGATCTGTTAGACAAGGCTGCCATCTCTCCGCCCATGAGTCTGTGTATAAACTTCCAGGCGCCTTTGTGGGGAAATCTTGCTCTAGTTTAATACTAATAAAATGTATAATTCTATAAATGAAAATAATGATTAAATCTAAGACAGCTCGAAGAACCAGATTGCATTATTAAATGAGAGAACCAGTGACTTATGGATCTTTCTGGTTATATGTGAATAAATTCTATTAAGCAATGACTGTAAATTCTATGCATGCTAGAACCAGCTTCCCATGACACATTTTGGGGGGTATTCTATGAGATGAATCTATGTGCAACATATATTATGTGATAATAATAATGATAATATGCACACACAGATAATGATAAAAAAGGATGTAATGCAAAAAATACTACTGCATATTAAAATTAAAATCATGTATCTGATTAATATGCAATGATTAGAAATGCTTTGACTCTAAAAGGTACTATCTACAATGAAAACTGATTAAATCTCAGCTGTGACAGAGGGACGTAGGTGGAGTCCAATCTCTACAACAGGCTGGAAACAGCTTGGAATAGTGATCCTTGGAACACGTGAGTATATAACAGTCACACGCTTCCTCAGTGGTGTTGCACCTTGCTGCAATAATTAAAATCCATAATTTCCACTCCAAATTAGTGTTCACACACATAAATGCAATATCTAAATATTTGGAGGGGTAGAAACAGCACTCACATGGGGGTTATTTTATCGCCTGCAGCGTCACGACATGGCACCTATATTAATTATTACCAGAGATGAAAATCATAACTAAAAAGGGTAAAAATGCATGCCGAACTGATGCCCGTGATTCTGGTGGGCTGCGTCCTCAATCTGAAGCCCGATGACGTACGGATGCTTGCTAGATTGTAAGATTTGTAAGGACCGCTTCGGAACACCTTACTGCCAGTTGATCAAAAATGGCGAGAGTCCCCTTCTTTCCCGAAAGTCGCACATGCGCATAGCTCCCAGTAGGGGATCATAAATTATATTTATTCATTAAAGCTAAATAGGGAAGGAAGCGTTCATAAATATTGTTTATATTTCAGTTAAATACTTTGTGGTGATGTTTGATTCTCACAGAGCAGGTCAGTTAATGTAGACTGCACAAATAAAACGAGAATCCTTTGGAGGTGGAAATTATTTTAGATTATGATATTATTTACTGGAACAGCAATCAAGTTGGGTAAAGGAATTCAAGTAAACTGTTGTATACTAAATAAAGTAAACCTATTACTAAATATTTATCCCTAATAAAGGAATGTAAATGGTTGAACTTTTATTAGGTCTACAGATATGTGGAAATTTATTCTCTGTAGTTTGCTGACGCAACACTGCACAATTCTAGGAGAAATTACATGATGTTCCACATCCTAATGCAATGAATTCTGTGATACTAAACTACTGATTAGTAGTGTTAGGTAATTATGACACTTAGTACAAGAAATACATCCCATTGTACCAAGGATTAGTAAATGAGTATCAAGCCTAATACAGAAAATATATCTTATTGTATTAAGGATGAGAATAATTGTTGGACATTTTCAACAGCCTTTGCATTCGGTGTTAATTTAAAGACTTCCTTGTGCAGCTGCCACTCTGGAATGGTTTGCGGTCCTCGCTAGTTACGTTCTCTGATGAACCGTCCTTGTTGGTTTCTGCGGGTGTGTCGGTGTTGACTGTGTAGGATGTGTCGGTGTTGACTGTGTAGGATGTGTCGGTGTTGACTGTGTAGGGTGTGTCGGTGTTGACTGTGTAGGATGTGTCGGTGTTGACTGTGTAGGATGTGTCGGTGTTGACTGTGTAGGGTGTGTCGGTGTTGACTGTGTAGGGTGTGTCGGTGTTGACTGTGTAGGATGTGTCGGTGTTGACTGTGTAGGGTGTGTCGGTGTTGGCTGTGTAGGGTGTGTCGGTGTTGGATGTGTCGGTGTTGGCTGTGCAGGGTGTGTCGGTGTTGGCTGTGTAGGGTGTATCGGTGTTGGCTGTGTAGGGTGTGTCGGTGTTGGATGTGTCGGTGTTGGCTGTGCAGGGTGTGTCGGTGTTGGCTGTGTAGGGTGTGTCGGTGTTGGATGTGTAGGGTGTGTCGGTGTTGGCTGTGTAGGGTGTGTCGGTGTTGGCTGTGTAGGGTGTGTCGGTGTTGGCTGTGTAGGGTGTGTCGGTGTTGGCTGTGTAGGGTGTGTCGGTGTTGGCTGTGTAGGGTGTGTCGGTGTTGGATGTATCGGTGTTGGCTGTGCAGGGTGTGTCGGTGTTGGCTGTGCAGGGTGTGTCGGTGTTGGCTGTGCAGGGTGTGTCGGTGTTGGCTGTGTAGGGTGTGTCGGTGTTGGCTGTGTAGGGTGTGTCGGTGTTGGATGTGTAGGGTGTGTCGGTGTTGGCTGTGTAGGGTGTGTCGGTGTTGGATGTGTCGGTGTTGGCTGTGCAGGGTGTGTCGGTGTTGGCTGTGTAGGGTGTGTCGGTGTTGGATGTGTCGGTGTTGGCTGTGTAGGGTGTGTCGGTGTTGGCTGTGTAGGGTGTGTCGGTGTTGGATGTGTAGGGTGTGTCGGTGTTGGCTGTGTAGGGTGTGTCGGTGTTGGATGTGTCGGTGTTGGCTGTGTAGGGTGTGTCGGTGTTGGATGTGTAGGGTGTGTCGGTGTTGGATGTGTAGGGTGTGTCGGTGTTGGATGTGTCGGTGTTGGCTGTGTAGGGTGTGTCGGTGTTGGCTGTGTAGGGTGTGTCGGTGTTGGATGTGTAAGGTGTGTCGGTGTTGGCTGTGTAGGGTGTGTCGGTGTTGGATGTGTCGGTGTTGGCTGTGCAGGGTGTGTCGGTGTTGGCTGTGTAGGGTGTGTCGGTGTTGGATGTGTCGGTGTTGGCTGTGTAGGGTGTGTCGGTGTTGGCTGTGTAGGGTGTGTCGGTGTTGGATGTGTAGGGTGTGTCGGTGTTGGCTGTGTAGGGTGTGTCGGTGTTGGATGTGTCGGTGTTGGCTGTGTAGGGTGTGTCGGTGTTGGATGTGTAGGGTGTGTCGGTGTTGGATGTGTCGGTGTTGGCTGTGTAGGGTGTGTCGGTGTTGGCTGTGTAGGGTGTGTCGGTGTTGGCTGTGTAGGGTGTGTCGGTGTTGGATGTGTCGGTGTTGGCTGTGTAGGGTGTGTCGGTGTTGGATGTGTAGGGTGTGTCGGTGTTGGATGTGTCGGTGTTGGCTGTGTAGGGTGTGTCGGTGTTGGCTGTGTAGGGTGTGTCGGTGTTGGATGTGTAGGGTGTGTCGGTGTTGGCTGTGTAGGGTGTGTCGGTGTTGGATGTGTCGGTGTTGGCTGTGTAGGGTGTGTCGGTGTTGGATGTGTAGGGTGTGTCGGTGTTGGATGTGTCGGTGTTGGCTGTGTAGGGTGTGTCGGTGTTGGCTGTGTAGGGTGTGTCGGTGTTGGCTGTGTAGGGTGTGTCGGTGTTGGATGTGTCGGTGTTGGCTGTGCAGGGTGTGTCGGTGTTGGCTGTGTAGGGTGTGTCGGTGTTGGCTGTGTAGGGTGTGTCGGTGTTGGATGTGTAGGATGTGTCGGTGTTGGATGTGTCGGTGTTGGCTGTGTAGGGTGTGTCGGTGTTGGATGTGTCGGTGTTGGCTGTGCAGGGTGTGTCGGTGTTGGCTGTGTAGGGTGTGTCGGTGTTGGCTGTGTAGGGTGTGTCGGTGTTGGATGTGTAGGGTGTGTCGGTGTTGGCTGTGTAGGGTGTGTCGGTGTTGGCTGTGTAGGGTGTGTCGGTGTTGGCTGTGTAGGGTGTGTCGGTGTTGGCTGTGTAGGGTGTGTCGGTGTTGGATGTGTCGGTGTTGGCTGTGTAGGGTGTGTCGGTGTTGGCTGTGTCGGTGTTGACTGTGTAGGATGTGTCGGTGTTGGCTGTGTAGGATGTGTCGGTGTTGGCGGTGTAGGGTGTGTCGGTGTTGGCTGTGTAAGATGTGTCGGTGTTGGCTGTGTAGGGTGTGTCGGTGTTGACTATGTAGGATGTGTCGGTGTTGGCTGTGTAGGGTGTGTCGGTGTTGGCTGTGTAGGGTGTGTCGGTGTTGGCTGTGTAGGGTGTGTCGGTGTTGGCTGTGTAGGGTGTGTCGGTGTTGGCTGTGTAGGGTGTGTCGGTGTTGGCTGTGTAGGGTGTGTCGGTGTTGGCTGTGTAGGATGTGTCGGTGTTGGCTGTGTAGGGTGTGTCGGTGTTGGCTGTGTCGGTGTTGGCTGTGTAGGATGTGTCGGTGTTGGCTGTGTAGAGTGTGTCGGTGTTGGCTGTGTAGGGTGTGTCGGTGTTGGCTGTGTAGGATGTGTCGGTGTTGGCTGTGTAGGGTGTGTAGGTGTTGGCTGTGTAGGGTGTGTCGGTGTTGGCTGTGTAGGGTGTGTCGGTGTTGGCTGTGTCGGTGTTGGCTGTGTAGGATGTGTCGGTGTTGGCTGTGTAGGATGTGTCGGTGTTGGCTGTGTAGGATGTGTCGGTGTTGACTGTGTAGGATGTGTCGGTGTTGGCTGTGTAGGGTGTGTCGGTGTTGGCTGTGTAGGGTGTGTCGGTGTTGACTGTGTAGGATGTGTCGGTGTTGACTATGTAGGACGTGTCGGTGTTGGCTGTGCAGGACGTGTCGGTGTTGGCTGTGCAGGACGTGTCGGTGTTGGCTGTGCAGGACGTGTCGGTTTTGGCTGTGCAGGACGTGTCTGTGTCGGTGCTGGCTGTGATTAATATAGAGAAATCTTGTATGATAAGGTTTGTTACCAGGTGTTGCAAGACTGGCTGGAGGGGTTCTTGGTTAAAAGTCGTAGAGTCGTCTAGGAGTGTTGGCGATTCTTCTTAATCAGCATTTATTTCAAGAAAATCTTCTGCTACATTATTCCCTTTTCTATTAAGCCAGTTTATTCCACTATAATTAAAGTCACCCATGACTCAAATACTGTTTGACCTAGATGATCTAGATATTTCACCCCAAAGATGCTTTGCTACCATTCTGTCTAAGTTTGGTGGCCACACCTGGTGGTAACACCTGGTGGCCACACCTGGTGGCCACACCTGGTGGCCACACCAAGGATCCTCCTCTTCCCAGAAGGATCCTTCTGGGGTGTGGAGTTTTCAGATGCATATTAGCTTGGGGACCATTCAGGCTTGTTCGCATTTGTGTTGCTCACGTGGTCCCACAAAGTGAGGTGATTCGATGAAATATCTATGCACGTGTTGACCATCGAGCGCTGCTGGATCTTAGATTAAATAGTCTCACGACTACCAAGATTTTTTTTACATTCGTGTGGTCTAGTGGTTAAGGTACCAGGTATACCAAGGTGCATAGTGCTCCTGGCTGTCTGGATTCGAATCTTTCTGAGGGGTGGAGCTTTGAGTTTATATATTATATATATATATATATATATATATATATATATATATATATATATATATATATATATATATATAAACAAACTATATATATAGGAACAATAAAACCTTCCACATTTGTGACAGGGTTAAGTAAGACCCACGACTATAAGATTCATCTAGCTTTTTATCTATCCATGCACCTATTAATCTTTCTATCCATCCAACCAGGTTTTCGTTCATCCATCTACCTGTCCATCCATTTATCCATTCATCCATTTACCCATTCATCCACTTACCCATTCATCCACATACTCAACTATTTGTCCATCTATACATCCGCCTATCCATCCACCAATCTGGCCATCATCTTTTTACTGTGTGTCTGTCTTTGTCTCTGCCCTTTTGTCTCTCTTTGTGTCTTTGTCGCTAGCTCTGTGTGTGGCATTGTCTATGTTTCTGAGTCTGTTAATTTCTGTCTGTCTTTCTTATAAAAAAAATAACTGACTAATGTGTTGGTAGTGAGCAGTGAGAGGACGTCAGTGGTGTGAAATACTAAAAACAGAATAGTTACTCCTCACTCTGGTAAGGAGCCGCTCCAGCCTGATAAACAAACACCTGTCTGTGATTATCTCGTACCCCAGATAATTCACTCTGATAATTTGGGTGAGGGTTAGCCACAACCGTGTGGCCTCCATCTTTCAATAGACATTCTCTCTAGTAGTATATAGGTTATATATATATATATATATATATATATATATATATATATATATATATATATATATATATATATATATATATATATAAATATATATAACCTATATAAATAACCTATATAAATATATATATATATAAATATATATAATATATATATATATATATATATATATATATATATATATATATATATATATATATATATATATATATATATATATATATGTCGTACCTAGTAGCCAGAACGCACTTCTCATCCTACTATTCAAGGCCCGATTTGCCTAATAAGCCAAGTTTTCATCAATTAATTGTTTTTCGTCTACCTAACCTACCTAACCTAACCTAACTTTTTCGGCTACCTAACCTAACCTAACCTATAAAGATAGGTTAGGTTAGGTTAGGTAGGGTTGGTTAGGTTAGGTTAGGTTAGGTTAGGTTAGGTTAGGTAGGGTTGGTTAGGTTCGGTCATATATCTACGTTAATTTTAACTCCAATAAAAAAAAAATGACCATATAGAATGAAATGGGTAGCTTTATCATTTCATAAGAAAAAAATTAGAGAAAATATATTACTTCAGGAAAACTTGGCTTATTAGGCAAATCTGGCCATGCATAGTAGGCTGAGAAGTGCGTTCTGGCTACTAGGTACGACATATATATATATATATATATATATATATATATATATATATATATATATATATATATATATATATATATATATATATATATATATATATATATATATATATATATATATATATATGTTTCATTGAATATGACCGCATATTCTGTATTTATTATTTTCTGGTTTAGGGCTTCTATCCCTCTAACTATTTTCTTAGCATCAGGGCTTAATTGGAATAGGAGTTCTCCAAAACTCATTTTCGTACTTTTAAGGTGAAGAAAAGAAGTGATTTACTATAGAGTGTATTACACTTATTTGTATAATTTACTATAGAGTGTAATACACTCTATAGTAAATCACTTCTTTTCTTCACCTTAAAAGTACGAAAATGAGTTTTGGAGAACTCCTATTCCAATTAAGCCCTGATGCTAAGAAAATAGTTAGAGGGATAGAAGCCCTAAACCAGAAAATAATAAATACAGAATATGCGGTCATATTCAATGAAACATGTTTGAAAGAAAACCTGCTGCCAGTATACACCCATATATATATATATATATATATATATATATATATATATATATATATATATATATATATATATATATATATATATAAATATATATATATATATATATATATATATATATATTGGTGTATACTGGCAGCAGGTTTTCTGCTGCCATATATATATGTATATATATCTATAGATATATATATATATCTATATATATATATATATATATATATATATATATATATATATATATATATATATATATATATATATATATATCTATATATATATATAAATGTAGTGAGACGGATATATAAGTATATCCGTCTCACTACATTTAGCACTTCAGACATGTCCAATATATATATATATGTCGTACCTAGTAGCCAGAACGCACTTCTCAGCCTACTATGCAAGGCCCGATTTGCCTAATAAGCCAAGTTTTCCTGAATTACTAAAATTTCTCTAGTTTTTTTCTTATGAACTGATAAAGCTACCCATTTCATTATGTATGAGGTCAATTTTTTTTGTTATTGGAGTTAAAATTAACGTAGATATATGACCGAACCTAACCAACCCTACCCAACCTAACCTAACCTATCTTTATAGGTTAGGTTAGGTTAGGTAGCCGAAAAAGCTAGGTTAGGTTAGGTAGGTTAGGTAGCCGAAAAAGTTAGGTTAGGTTAGGTAGGTTAGGTCGTCGAAAAAATATTTATTCATGAAAACTTGGCTTATTAGGCAAATCGGGCCTTGCATAGTAGGCTGAAAAGTGCGTTCTGGCTACTAGGTACGACATATATATATATATATTGGACATGTCTGAAGTGCTAAATGTAGTGAGACGGATATAGTTTCATCACGCTGTCATCGAGGTTACGGCCAAAGCAGGAAACGGACATGGGTTGAACTTTGGCTCTTTGGTCCCGCCTTTTAACCGTCAATCAACTGGTGTACAGATTCCTGAGCCTACTGGGCTCTGTCTTATCTACATTTGAAACTGTGTATGAAGTCTACCACAACTTCACTTCAAATGGAATGGACATCCTGGTGCATTCCATTTGTTAACTACTCTGACACTGAAAAAGTTCTTTCTAGTGTCTGTGGCTCATTTGGGTACAAGTTTCCACCTGTGTCCCCTTGTTCGTGTTCCACCCGTGCTAATGAGTTTGTCTTTGTCCACCCTGTCAATTCCCCCTGAGAATTTTCTAGGCGGTTATTATGTCTCCCTTACTCTTCTGTTTTCCAGGGACATGAGGTTAACTCCTTTAATCTTTCCTCGTAGCTCATACCTCTCATTTCCGGGACTAGTCTACTGGCATACCTCTAAATCTTCTCTAACTTTGTCTTGTGCTTAACTAGGTATGGACTCCAGGCTGGAGCTGCATATTCCAGGATTGGTCTGACCTAAGTGGTATACAGGGCCCCTGAACGATTCCTTACACAAGTTTCTAAAGGCAGTTCTTATGTTGGCCAGCCTAGCATATGCCGCTGATGATATCCTTTTGATGTGGGCCCCTGGGGACAGGTTCGTTGTGATATCAACCCCGAGATCTTTGTCTCTGTTTGCTTCATGAAGGATTTCACCTCCCAGTTGGTACCTTGTGTTCAGCCTCCTGCTCCCTTCGCCTAATTTTATTACTTTACACTTTCCGGAGTTGAATTTTACTAGCCCTTTTCTAGGCCATTCCTCCAGTTTGTAAAGGTCGTCCTGGAGTGTCTGTCTTCATCTTGATTCTTCGGCTTGAATCTGCTTGATTCTTCTCATAGTTATTGCGTCATCAGCAGACATTGAGAGGAATGAGACTATACTGTCTGGAAGATCGTTTACATATATTAGAAACAGGATGGGTCCAATTACAGAGCCCTGTGGGTCTCTGCTGGTCACATCTCGCCACTGATGTCCCCACTCCCCCCCTCACAGCTACTCGCTGTTTCCTGTTGCTTAGATACTCCCTTATCCACTGGAGCACCTTACCTTTTACTCCTGCCTGATGCTCCAACTTTTGTAACAGCCTTTTATGGAGTACTGTGTCAAAGGTTACAGTTCAAGAAAATGCAGTATGCCCACCCTTCTCTCTTTTGCCTAATTTTTGTTTCATTGTCATTTAAACCTGTGAGGCACGATTTATCATCTCTAAACCCATGCTGGTGGTGTGTTACAAAGCTATTTCCCTTCAGATGCTCTACGAGCCTTTTCCTCGCGATCTTCTTCATCACCTTGCATGGTATACAAGGTAGGGAAACTAGCCTGTAGTTCAGTGCCTCTTGCCTGTCACCCTTTTTTTTATACTAGAACTATATTAGGTGTCTTCTAGCTTTACGGTACATCTGTTATAAGTGACTTGTTATACACCATAGAGAGTGGCACACTTAGTGCTTCTGCACCTACTTTTAGTATCCATGATGAGATTCTGTCAGACCCAACAGCCTTCGTCACATTCAGCTCCAACAGATTCCTTTTGACCTCATCACTGGTGAGGTCAAATTCCTCCAAGGTTGATTGGT